ACCCCTTACGTTTTTTTTTTGGGGGCGAAAAATTAAGTTTCCCCAATCTTCTCAAAACTCTGGATTCTGATAGAGGGCCATGAGACTTAGACCTGAGTGCAAAAATGGAGGCTCTAGACCCTTCCAGAGCTGAGATATCGAAACTCAAAATTTCGACCAGAAAAAAAAAACGACAGTGTTACCCCTTACGTTTTTTTTTTGGGGCGAAAAATTAAGTTTCCCCAATCTTCTCAAAACTCTGGATTCTGATAGAGGGCCATGAGACTTAGACCTGAGTGCAAAAATGGAGGCTCTAGACCCTTCCAGAGCTGAGATATCGAAACTCAAAATTTCGACCAGAAAAAAAAACGACAGTGTTACCCCTTACGTTTTTTTTTGGGGGCGAAAAATTAAGTTTCCCCAATCTTCTCAAAACTCTGGATTCTGATAGAGGGCCATGAGACTTAGACCTGAGTGCAAAAATGGAGGCTCTAGACCCTTCCAGAGCTGAGATATCGAAACTCAAAATTTCGACCAGAAAAAAAAACGACAGTGTTACCCCTTACGTTTTTTTTTTTTGGGCGAAAAATTAAGTTTCCCCAATCTTCTCAAAACTCTGGATTCTGATAGAGGGCCATGAGACTTAGACCTGAGTGCAACAATGGAGGCTCTAGACCCTTCCAGAGCTGAGATATCGAAACTCAAAATTTCGACCAAAAAAAAACGACAGTGTTACCCCTTACGTTTTTTTTGGGGCGAAAAATTAAGTTTCCCCAATCTTCTCAAAACTCTGGATTCTGATAGAGGGCCATGAGACTTAGACCTGAGTGCAAAAATGGAGGCTCTAGACCCTTCCAGAGCTGAGATATCGAAACTCAAAATTTCGACCAGAAAAAAAAATGACAGTGTTACCCCTTACATTTTTTTGGGGGGGTGGCGAAAAATTAAGTTTCCCCAATCTTCTCAAAACTCTGGATTCTGATAGAGGGCCATGAGACTTAGACCCTTCCAGAGCTGAGACACGAAAATCAAAATTTTGACCAGAAAAAAAAAACGACAGTGTTACCCCTTACGTTTTTTTTTTTTGGGGCGAAAAATTAAGTTTCCCCAATCTTCTCAAAACTCTGGATTCTGATAGAGGGCCATGAGACTTAGACCTGAGTGCAAAAATGGAGGCTCTAGACCCTTCCAGAGCTGAGATATCGAAACTCAAAATTTCGACCAGAAAAAAAAAACGACAGTGTTACCCCTTAAGTTTTTTTTTGAGCGAAAAATTAAGTTTCCCCAATCTTTTCAAAACTCTGGATTCTGATAGAGGGCCATGAGACTTAGACCTGAGTGCAAAAATGGAGGCTCTAGACCCTTCCAGAGCTGAGATATCGAAACTCAAAATTTCGACCAGAAAAAAAAACGACAGTGTTACCCCTTACGTTTTTTTTTTGGGCGAAAAATTAAGTTTCCCCAATCTTCTCAAAACTCTGGATTCTGATAGAGGGCCATGAGACTTAGACCTGAGTGCAAAAATGGAGGCTCTAGACCCTTCCAGAGCTGAGATATCGAAACTCAAAAATTCGACCAGAAAAAAAAACGACAGTGTTACCCCTTACGTTTTTTTTTTTTGGGCGAAAAATTAAGTTTCCCCAATCTTCTCAAAACTGGATTCTGATAGAGGGCCATGAGACTTAGACCTGAGTGCAAAAATGGAGGCTCTAGACCCTTCCAGAGCTGAGATATCGAAAATCAAAATTTCGACCAGAAAAAAAAACGACAGTGTTACCCCTTACGTTTTTTTGGGGGGCGAAAAATTAAGTTTCCCCAATCTTCTCAAAACTCTGGATTCTGATAGAGGGCCATGAGACTTAGACCTGAGTGCAACAATGGAGGCTCTAGACCCTTCCAGAGCTGAGATATCGAAACTCAAAATTTCGACCAGAAAAAAAAAACGACAGTGTTACCCCTTACGTTTTTTTTTTGGGGCGAAAAATTAAGTTTCCCCAATCTTCTCAAAACTCTGGATTCTGATAGAGGGCCATGAGACTTAGACCTGAGTGCAAAAATGGAGGCTTTAGACCCTTCCAGAGCTGAGATATCGAAACTCAAAATTTCGACCAGAAAAAAAAAAACGACTGTTACCCCTTACGTTTTTTTTATTGGGCGAAAAATTAAGTTTACCCAATCTTCTCGAAACTCTGGATTCTGATAGAGGGCCATGAGACTTAGACCCTTCCAGAGCTGAGACACGAAAATCAAAATTTTGACCAGAAAAAAAAAACGACAGTGTTACCCCTTACGTTTTTTTTTTTGGGCGAAAAATTAAGTTTCCCCAATCTTCTCAAAACTCTGGATTCTGATAGAGGGCCATGAGACTTAGACCTGAGTGCAAAAATGGAGGCTTTAGACCCTTCCAGAGCTGAGATATTGAAACTCAAAATTTCGACCAGAAAAAAAAAACGACAGTGTTACCCCTTACGTTTTTTTTTTTTTTGGGCGAAAAATTAAGTTTCCCCAATCTTCTCAAAACTCTGGATTCTGATAGAGGGCCATGAGACTCAGACCCTTCCAGAGCTGAGAAACGAAAATCAAAATTTTGACCAGAAAAAAAAACGACAGTGTTACCCCTTATGTTTTTTTTGGGGGCGAAAAATTAACCCTCTACTGCATGCATTTTGATGGCACATGGAAAAAAAATATTCCACATCATTTCTTGGCTCATTTAGGAACATTTTATTGATTTATTGAAAAATTTCCCTCCCCTAACCCCCCCACCCCAAAATATTTTTTTGTTGCCCAAGTGCAACGTTGCGCAACAATGGTAAAGAATCACAGAGAAAATTGTCATTATACAACTCTTAGAGAGCAATACAAAAATCAATTTTTTTTCTCCAAAAATGTCAAGAAATAATTTAAGTAAAAAGGGAAAAACACTAGAAACTCATCAATCTATTTGATTTGATAGAGACATATGTTTGCATCATGTAGTGCGTCGTCATGCATCATGTACTTTATGTATCCTAATCATCCCCATATAAACTGTATTGCCAAAAGTTTTGGGACACCCCTTCAAATCATTGAATTCAGATGTTCCAATCACTTCCATGGCCACAGTTCTGTAAAATAAAGCAGCTACTGTAAGCATGCAGACGATTCAACAAACATCTGTGAAAGAATGGGTCACTCTGGAATTCAGCATGGTACTGTGGTAGGTTGCCACCTATGAAATTTCCTCACTACTAAATGTTCCACGGTCACTGTTAGTGGTATTATAACAAAGTGGAAGCAATTGGGAACAACATCAACCCAGAGCGGGGTTAGCGCATGCTGAGGTGCACAGAAGTCGCCAACTTTCTCCAGTGTCAATAGCTACAGACCTCCAAACTTCATGTGGCCTTCAGATTAGCTGAACACCAGTGCGTAGAAAGCATCATGGAATGGGTTTCCATGGCCGAGCACCTGCATCCAAGCCTTACATCAACAAGTGCAATGCAAACCGTTGGGTGCAGTGGTATAAAGCACGCCACCACTGGACTTTAGAGCAGTGGAGACGTGTTCTCTGAGTGATGAATCACGCGTCTCTGTCTGGCGATCTCATGGACGAGTCTGGGTTTGGCGGTTGCCAGAAGAACGTTTCTTGCCTGACTGCATTGTGACAAGTGTAAAATTTTGTGGAGGGGGGATTATGGTGCGGGGTTGTTTTTCAGGGGTTGAGTTTGGCCCCTTAGGTCCAGTGAAAGCAACTCCTAATGCTTCAGCATACCAAGACATTTTGGACAATGTCATGCTCCCAACTTTGTGGGAACAGTGTCACTTTGGTGACTTTGGGTGTTCCTTTGTACCCAGGAACCCTGCATCTTTCCTTCATGTAACACATTATTTGCCATTGTAATGTATTGTTAAAAACCTCCTTGAAAAGTACCCCTTATTGCACAACGTTGCCTTGAGGCAACAAAAAGAAAAACTGAATTTGTGAACATGCAAAATAAAAAAAACCATAATAAAACCTGCCAGAAGGCTTTTCTACACCTTCATACAGACACACATATTTTTTATATACAGTTAATGTCATTTTAAAGAAGATCACTAAAGCACATAATCTTGCTTTCAACTCACAACATGTGCTCCTGTGACCATGTGCCAGAAAAGGACTTCCCACCTTCAAATGGTGCTTGATGGTGACTCCCAAACCTTATTGGACTGTTCTTTGATACTTTTTCAATCTTTCTAATTGGTTGCAATCATTTAAAGAAAAATTTACTGAACATAGGGCTTAAGAAAACTTTCTGTTGCCTGAGGGCAACGCTATGCTGTAGAGGGTTAAGTTTCCCCAATCTTCTCAAAACTCTGGATTCTGATAGAGGGCCATGAGACTTAGACCTGAGTGCAAAAATGGAGGCTTTAGACCCTTCCAGAGCTGAGATATCGAAACTCAAAATTTCGACCAGAAAAAAAACGACAGTTTTACCCCTTACGTTTTTTTTTGGGGGGGCGAA